GGCACTTGCAAATTCTCGGCTTTAGGTCCCCTTAAGATCTCCCCTTCCTTAAACCCAGTGACGCTGTAAAGGTCATCTGCGACCAACAGCATACACACTCAAAAAAAAATAACTTATTTACACGACGAAAAGCGACGTTTGTCACACTTATCTTTACAGGAAAATTTACCAAAATCAGTTCAGCGTGAAAGCTTAACAAACAAACAGGTAGCGGTAATTTTTAGAGGCAGATGATGAGATAGCTCAAAGTACCTATCAATTACATACTTATAAGATACAAAATGGTTCTTAGAATAGGTACACTCCGATGTCGCAATAGTGCTTGGATAGGGATGGCTCGCCATTACTGGCACGTAGGCGGTAGGTGTTTATAAAAAAATACGCTGTGCAAATTTAGAAAAAAAAAAAAAACCGGCCAAGTGCGAGTCGGACTCGCGCACCGAGGGTTCCGTACAAACCTCTAGGTATATTTTAATAATTATTAAAAAAAAATATTATAGGATGTAACTAAGAATTTACGGTTTTCGCAATTTTTCCTTTATCTGTACTATAAGACGTTACTTCGTACCAAATTTCAAGATTCTAAGTTCACGGGAAGTACCCTGTAGGTTTTGATTCCCGTGCGAGTTTCGAAAATTTGCGACATAAACGGCTGTATCTTTTGATTGCTTTGGCTTAGAAGTTTAATTTTTTCGCAGCTCCAAGGGACAGTACTCCTGAGTATTATATATGAATTTCAGTTTGATACCTCTACGTGTTCCTGAGAAAAACGGTCTTGACAGACGGACGGACGGACAGACGGACAACAAAGTGATCCTATAAGGGTTCCGTTTTTTCCTTTTTAGGTACGGAACCCTAAAAATATACAAACGCAATAAGTAGCTCGGTTTTTTTTGCATAACTAAACATTTTTATATCTTGACAATTTCTTGTGCGTTGTTTCTTAGGTTTTCCCAGATTTTCGTAGATTTTTTTCCTGTAAACGTTTAATTTACCAAGTCTGTGTGTACTTTTTTGTTTTCGGAAATGTTTTTTGTGCTTGTTTTATTGCCAAAATAATAATAATAATAATATATTCTTTATTGTATAATACTACAAAGGCCATAACAGTAAGACTACACTGACAGAGAGACATTACACAATGGGCGTCCTTATTGCTTAATAGCAATCTCTTCCAGGCAACCCATGACGGAAAGTATATAAAAACAAAAAAAAAATATTAATATGTAAAGAACATCTTTACAGTGAGTTCTTTAATTTGTTATTTCTTAAGTAGTTTTGTATAGCTCTCGGGCGACCATAATAATAAAACTGTCACTTGATAGATGGTGTCGCTTTGACAGAACGAGCCGTGATACTTTTATTTTATTTTATTATTTTAAAATATTATTGTAAAGGAAGGAATGTTTGTATTAAGTAAAAGACTTTAAATGTCGTTTCTCTGTTTTCAGGTAAGTTAGTATGATTTATAGGAGATAGTAAAAAGTGTAGTGAATAATAAATGTTTTAACCTACATACATTATTAAATAAAATCTTTGTTTTCAGAGCAACACATTGGTTTAATTACTTTTACAATTTCCATTAAAAGATATTGTCTTATAAAAATAATAATGTTTTTATTTCTCATAAAAGTAACGCAGCCCTAAGTAAACAATTGTTTAAAAACGCCAACCACAAAGTGCAACCTCTCGTTGTTCACTTCTCGGTACAATACGGAGTAAGCACAATACGGACACACGGACAGAACGTCTAAATTATTGACACTCATCACGCCCACCACAAGCACCACAACTTGATGGATGGTATGTAACTTAACCACAAACACGGCTAACAAACGCGCACATTCAATAAAGAGAACACACAAGTAACTTAACGTAAAACTAGTTTTTAAATAAATTGGCACGTATACATTATACGCCGGGTTTCATGGTGTCGCCAACTCGAGAGGCCCCGGATTCGAATCCCCGTGGGGGCAGATGTTTGTGTGATGAATACGAGCATTTTTACTCCAGTCATGGATGTTTAATATGTATTTCTATATCATCATCATCATCATCAGCCTATTAATGTCCCCACTGCTGGGGCACAGGCCTTTCTTATGGATGGAATAGGGAGATAGCGCCATGACCCACCACGCGGGCCCAATGCGGGTTGGCGGGTGCTAACGACTGCAGATGCAGCCTGGACCAATGGCTTAACGTGCCTTCCGAAGCACGGAGGTACTCGAGATACAAGATTTTTGGTCACCCATCCAATGACCGACCACTGCGAAAGTTGCTTAAATTTAACGATCGCAGTCGAACGCGCTAACCACTTGGAGGACCTGGTCCTCCAGTCCATTTCTATATAAATATACATATTTATGTACTGTATATGTATTTTATCCGTTATCCTAGTATCCCATAACACACACAAGACTTACAGTGCTTACTTAGGGGCTAGGCTAATTGGTGTGAGTGTTGGAAATATTTATTGAAGTTATATTTCTTTAGGCGCGTTATGAAAAAATGATGAGAGTGAAATTTTAAGATGCGCGCGCATCACTGTAACACAAAATTTTAACAGCATGAAGTTGGTCGCTTTAGCGACCAACTTCATGCGTTACTTTTGTGTTTACCGCACATTAAGAAAATCTACCAACAAAATAGAAATAGAATCTCTATTTAGTGGGCGCTAACGACTGCATTGTGAAGGCCTATCAAAAGTATTTATTAATCTGGAACAACGGAACCAAAGCGCGATTCAGGAGACTACAGCGCCATCTCTTGACCATTGGTGTAGTAGAACCAAAAACCACATTTTTATTTTTTGTAACAAAGTAACAGTTATAGGTATTCATATTTATAATATTTATCCACATGTTTCTAGTTTGTATATTCGGAATACGTGTTTGAGTTTCATACAAGTGCAAATCACATTATGTTCTAATAAATTATATTCAGTAGCGATTTTAATTGAATATTTTGATTATTTATTTATTTTTTCAAATTAAAACTGAACTTTATTGACTGTGTCCTTTTCCAGACTTTTTATTAATTTATTGTAATTAATTATTTGCATGCAATTAAAAAATTTAAACGATGCCAAAGAAGGATAACTTCTCACGCGCCTACATAAGTACACGCACCCATTTTTTTTATTTATTATTATGTTGTCGAGGACTTTTTTGTAGGACTGGTAAAGGGAAAAAACGTAATTTTTGTGTAACTTTTACAGTTTACGCTGCGCACGCAATCATCATCATCATCATCATCAGCCTATTAATGTCCCCACTGCTGGGGCACAGACCTTCCCTATGGCCGTCCATATTCCGTATAGGGAGATTGGGCCATGACCCACCACGCAGGCCCAGTGCGGATTGGTGTGTGCTAACGACTGCAGATGCAGCCGGGACCAACGGTTTATAGTAAATTTTTGGTCACCCATCCAATGACCGACCACTGCGAAAGTTGCTTAACTTCAACTATCGTAGCCGAACGCGCTAACCACTTGCGCCATCGAGCTCCTATATAGTAATATTTTTTTCCCCTTTTTGCAACACTTGTTCTTAGTGCTCCGTTTCTATTATTCGTAGCGATAGCAAATTGGAGCAGTGTTCCTGTGTGTTCAACCTATTCAACCAAACAAACTCTTCAGCGTTATAATCAGACCCGTCTTTCCCAATGGGCACTTTGGGCAAGTGCCCAGGGCCCCGCGATCGATAGGGGGCCCCCTCAAATCAAATACAAAATCCTTAGTTCCTGTTAAATCACCAAACGGAAGTCTTAGGTCCCCATTATCATAATATGCGCAGGGCCTCCAATAGGTCAAAGACGGCACTGTTTATAATATTAAGTAGAGATTGAAAGTCATCTATTTTCAAGATTTTTCACTGCATTTCTATAAATGCCACTTTATTCAGACAAGTATATTCTATGTTCATGGTTAATTAGGTATTTATAATTGCTCAAATAAGTATGTTCCAAGATTTATAGCTAATTATGCTAATTGAAATCATAGTAAGTAAAAGTATGTTTATTACAACCATATTAAAACCCTAAATACACCACGTGCGCTCAAAATGCGTCCCAATCAAGAAGTGCTTGAACACCACTCAAGCACTTTTCGGTTCACAGTCACGCGCGGACAGTTGAAAAGTCAGTAAAATCCGAAAAAAAATACTTACAGTAAGTAAACTTTTTTCGACAGGTATCTAATCAATTTTTGTTTATTTAACGCACTTGAAGCAAATAATGTCCTAATACTTACTATAAACTGATTTAATAAAAAATATTTGTGATATTCAAATGCATGGTCAGTAATATAGCTGTCTCTTTTCCTCGCGGTCCGTACCTGCTATAATGCTAAAAGCGCATTTAGAATTGCGCATACAGTCAAAGAAATAACGTCTATATTTTTCCGCATATAGCAACAAGTTGTTAAAAACAAGCTTGCATATCGAATTGTCTAAACTTTTTGACGCATACATTTTAATTTAGACCTTCTACTTTATGCATTAAAGGTGACTTTTAAAGTTTAAATAATGCCTTATATTGTTTTTGTCTACGTGATCATCTTACGGAGCTCCGTGGATCGTCTAATGTACCTTTTGGACAGGTTTCGGGCACGATTTTGTTCGTGCTGTTGCATCTAGGGTATTTAATATCGTTGGTTTATTACTCCACTCACACCCTCTCAGGTTCTAGTGGTCTAGCGGCTCCAGATCGAGAAGAGACTCCCCCCCTGGGGAGATGCCATCCGCCTGGAATACCTCTAGAAGCACTCGCCAATTCTCGGCTTGAGGTCGTCTTAGGATATCGCCGTCCCCAAACCCGGTGACGCTGTAAAGGTCATCTGCAAGTGTACAGTACATGCGATACTATACAGTACTATACTATACACTATATACTGTACAATACTATACTATACAGTACTATACAATACTATACAGTACAGAGTACAATATTGTGCGATATGTACAGCATACACACTCAAAAAAAGAAAAAAAAAATCGACTCACCTTGTACCGTTCGAGGGTGTCGACGGCGCGAGCATACCCGTCCGCGTTGTACACGCATAGCGCGGACAACAGCTCGAACACCTGCAACAGGAACGCGTTCAGAAAGTTCCCTTTCATGTTATAAAACCTTACCCTACCCTTTCCTATTCTTTCCCCGTGGTGCTCTAGAAACCTTACAAAGTAGGCTTGTTGAAAATATATCGATGTATCGATATATCGATATTTTTTGTACGATGTATCGATATTTTGAGCCGATATATTTTGATTCGATATATCGATACATCGATACAAAATAACCAATATCGAAATTCGTATCAAAAACGATATTTTTTAATTATTAGCGGCATATCACGATCTAACTAAATTCGTATCTGGAAAAATCGTAACTGGATCTCAGATTAATGATATTCAACATATCTATGATCTGTGCTGTATTTAGTATTGTCTATGATTTGTAAATCTGTTTCGCTGGTGAATTGGTTGTGCTGAATTCCATTATATTCTGTGGAAGTGTGTGACTAGTGTTGTTTACTAAAGATGGCACCTGAGAGGCCTTGCAATCATTTTCATCATTCGAAAATAGGGTCTATTTTTAGGGAGATAAATTTCGTTCAATTATTATTCCTCGTATCATCTTTCGTGAGATACTGTACTGCCATTTAGTGTAGCGGCAATTTGGTACTTTGATAATTCTTTCTTTAATTATAATTTGTATTGTTATTATTACTGTGCTAGGCTGACCTAAATATATTTTTGGGAAAATTAGTCCGATATATCGATATATCGATGTTTTTTTCGCGATATATCGAAGCCGATATTGATATTTTTTTAAATATCGATGTATCGATATATCGATATTTTTTTCAACTTTCGACATCCCTATTACAAAGCCCACTTAATCATTTTGGGTCTTTAATCAAGCTTAAAAGCCAATTTACTTGTCTGAATGCGACGGTAAGTTCATTTATACCTAAAGAAAATTTCACTAGTAAAAATTCACACGGCTTTAAAACCCGCAACTTCCTTGATGACACTGCCTAAAACCTCAGAAATACTAGAAGAAAATCAATACAACCATTAAGGTCGCGGTAGCAGAATTGGACAGTGCGTCCGCCCGGGTAGCGGGAGGTGCGGGTTCGAATCCCGTGTGTTTTTTTTTCTAGTGAAATTATACACATTAGATGCTAACGGCGTTACCATATACTGATATTACATTTTTATTAAAATAGTATAAAAAAACAAGTGTGCTTATGACCACACGACTGAAGTGAAACTTCTTTAGCTCCATCTGTATGTATATATGTATGTGTGCACAATATATACATGTATGTACATATACATATTTCATTTACTACCTATAAGAGAAAGAGAGAAAGAAAATGTGCACGCGAACTGATTTTTCTTACTTATATCCCCCACTTAACTCCCGTTCGCCTCGCCCGAACACACTTTTCGTAACGCGTAAGCGTAACGCATTCGCCAGCTTACCCCCCAAGTCAAGTGTGCCTAAAGAAGTCTCACTTCCAAAATCATTTTACTAACATAGAAATAAGTAAAGTTTAAATTTTTCTTCAAATTAATGAACGTTGCAGTTAAATGGTTAAAATAAGTGTAAAAAATCATATTTACCTAAAGAAAAGTTTACTAGAAAAAAAAATCCACGCGGACCAGGCAGCGGACGGGACTCGAACCCGCACCCTTTGCAATCCGGGCGAATGCACTGACCATTATGCTACCACGGCCCTATTTGCCGCGTCGAAATTTTCCTAGCCTTAAGCTGCAAGGCAGCGCCATCTCTTCGCATTGTAGGTAACCCACAATGTCAAATGAATACTTTTTCAAGTATTAAACATTTGAAAGAATCATATTTACCTGTTTCTTGACGGGTGCGGCGGGCGACGTGAGCGCCGCCGCGAGCTTGCCGGCGTATTCGGCGTGCTCGACGATGTAGTCGAGACCGACTCGACTCTCCATCACTCTGTACACAAAAAAAACACTCCATTAATACGCGTGTAAAACACTCGACAATTCATCAGAAGCGGTTTTGCATATGGTGCAGGTAGTGCCAGTTGGTCGGGAACCGTTTTTTTTTGAGTGCGTATGCTGTTGGTCGGGTCTAGTACCCGTTGGACCCTCAAGATTCGACACAAAAGCAAAAAGTGCCCATTGGACCTCTTCTTTGGTGTCCATTGGACCTTCTTAAAAAGTTTTATATTCAATGTGCCTATTGGACCTCTTTTTTGGTGCCCATTGGACCTTCTTAAAAAAATTATATTCAATGTGCCCATTGGACCTCTATGACCTTTACAGCGTCACCGGGTTTGGGGACGGCGAGATCCTCAAACCTCAAGCCGAGAATTGGCGAGTGCCTCTAGAGGTATTCCAGGCGAATGGCATCTTCCCACGGAGGCAGTCTCCTCGCCGTCTGGAGTCTCTAGACCACTCGAACCTGAGGGGTCGGCTCAACTAGAGGGCGTCTCTGAGACTCGGACCTCGGCTGTAGCTAGCCGTTGTGGTGGGGGGCAGGGAAAAAAGCCCAGGTACGTACACAGGTACGTACCAGGTACAGACCTGGTATAGGGTGTCGTGTGTAGATCGGGTCTTCGCACTCTTATCCTACGGGTACGGTGTCTGCCTAATGTGTGCAAGTTTTGTAAATTGTACGGGAATCATATACCCAACAAAAGTTGTGTTCAAAAGTTATGTGTCATTTATGTGATCAACTGACTCGTGATAAATAACGAAAGCTCCCGACATTTGAACATGATGATGCACTAGTCGTTTACCCCCTGTACCCTGTTCGCTTCTAGCTTAAGTGGGAAGTAGGATGTCTGGCTTGGGGGACATTTTAAACATTATCCAGATATTTTGACTTTTCGATTGCATTAGGTGCAGGGTGTGCTGGTACAAGTCTACAAACGCCTCTCATCATCATCATCAGCCTATTAATATCCCCACTGCTGGGGCACAGGCCTTCCCTATGGATGGGTTAGGGAGATTGGGTCATGACCCACCACGCGGGCCCAGTGCGGGTTGGTGGGTGCTAACGACTGCAGATGCAGCCGGGACCAACGGCTTAACGTGCCTTCCGAAGCACGGAGGAGCTCGAGATAGTAAATTTTTGGTCACCCATCCAATGACCGACCACTGCGAAAGTTGCTCAACTTCAACGACCGCAGCCGAACACGCTAACCATTGGCGCCATCGAGCTCCTTAAACAAACAAACGCCTCTGATATTCGTAAAATAAATTACTACGAATACAGCCCGCGGCACGTATCTCTAGCGCTGAACAAAACGCGGTGGAGACATCTGCGCATGGGTACGACTGGAGAGCCAATCGGCGCAACGCACGCCCACCCGCGCACCTCGTTTCCCCCCAAGACATCTTAATTTTTATTTCTGCGCAATTACAGTCAGCGCTAGTTTCGTGCCGCGACTTATATCTTCGGGTAGAATATGTGAATCTTTCTGATTTCTCACGTGTCGGGCGCAATGTGCTTGCCGCCCTTTATAAAAACAATTAAAAAATTGGTGCGCTATAATACTCAGGTTTAAACTATTATAAATCTTATTGGCGCGATGGAGTGCAATTACGAGAGCTGCATAAAAAATCAAAGCAGAAATAATGACATGTAGTAGATAGAAATTTTAAATGTATGTCTCCTCTCTCTATGAATGACACCTGTATGTAAATAATATTTGCTAATTATATTTTTATTTTTGCAGCCTAAGAAATACTAGAAGAAATTTGACACGGCTGTTAAGGTCGTGGTAGCATAATTGGTCAGTGTATTCTCCCGAACAGCGGAGGGTACGGGATCGGGTCATGTCTGCTTCCTGGGACCGCGTGAATTTTTTTCCAGTAAAATTTCTTTCAATATATTTTATTAGTCAGTATAAAATACAAATAAAGCTTGAAGGGCGTAGAAGTATATCATATAAGGAGTCTTCTCTAATTTTCTTCAAATATTTGCTTGAAGTTGTAACTTTTTATAAAAACAGTTATTTTTTAAGAGCCTCGAACTAGTGACGTGTCTTAAAATGATCGGATTTTTTATTAATCTTTAAAAATAACTGTTTTTATAAAAAGTAAAAACTTCAAGCTAATGTTTTAAGAAAATAAGAGAAGACTCCTTATATGATGTACTTCAACGCCCTTTAAGCTTTATTTGTATTTTTGTAACACCCTGTATATCAAAAGTAATAATAGTCAGCTGACTTACAAGAGCTTTTATTTGCCATTTTTATTTCACGGGTAGCTTAATTTGCTACTTACTTCTTGCTTAAAAAAGTGAAAGCTATAAAGACACTATTATAACTTAATAGTGGTTGATACTTAATTTTGTTTGTTTGCTTGGATTCCATTCGATTCATTCAAGAAATATTAATACATAATCCGTTACATAATAACATAATAATATCGCGTGCGCGCGCGCAGTACCGATTTGTGATGCTTATAGATTTTGACTAATTGATTACCTACAAAGAAATTCCTATAATGTGAAAACCTCTTGTATTTTTATTATATAAGAATGTTTATTGCAACTTCTATAACTACATGGTTCTTTCCCCATACTGTAGTAAATGAAAGACATTGAATCTAAAGAAAATATTACTAGAGAAAATTCCACGCGAACCAGGCAGCAGACGGGACTCGAATCCGCACACTTCGCTATCCAGGCGAATGCACTGACTGTGTTCTATTCTATGTATCCTTTCTTAAGCTGCAATGCAGCGTCACTGGTTCGCATTGTAGGTAACCCACAATGTCAAATGAATACCTTTACAAGTATTAAACATGTGAAAGAAGAAATAGCAATTATAGGTAGTTATAAATTTTATTATTTACGACTTTTGACGACTTCCGTGGCCGGGTGGTTTGTACACCGGGTTTCATGGTGAAGTCGACTCGAGAGGTCCCCCGGGTTCGAATCCCGGTGGGGACAGATGTTTGTGTGATGAATACGAGCAATTTGTTTGGATGTTTAACATGTATTTTCATATAATTATACTTATATATGTATCAGTATATGTATGTATTCTATCCGTTACCCTAGTATCCCCATAACACAAGCCTTACAGGCTAATTGGTGTGAGTGAGAAATTAGTAGATTAGTTCTGTAATACTGAATACAATCTTTGAATTAACAAAGCTACTTAAACGTATTAATGGCCATTACATAGCTATAAAGTAGCAGTAAGGATGGCGCAAGCGATTAGTGAATTCAGCCAGCGATCGTGACATTTAGTGTCGCCGCACACAGGCCACACGCCACAGCCACAAACGCCGCCACGAGAAGCTAGTCGGGCCGCGGCCCGACTGATGTTGATCGGGCATTGCATATATGAACTGTTGGCTACCGAATTTCACATGCGCGATGTAGGCTTCCTTACGTTGTGAACGCAGCGCCGGTAGCGCCATCCCTTGAAGAGGCGTGTGATTAATTCCTCGCATTTTTTTTTCCATAATTACAGACTTAAGAGCGGATATCTCGAAAACTATACAAGATATCAAAAAACTTGACTGAATAAGACTTGTAGCAAATCTAATCAGCTTTCACTTTTGTTAAAGTCTCATGTCGCTAGGATGCATAGTTTCCGAGATATATGCGAAAAACCTAAAAATGGGACCTTCAATCCTCCCCCTTCCCCCCGGCTCAAGGGCTACGGGCGGGGACTTTTGATATGTTTACCTCCTAACTAGTCCTAACAAAGTTACGAAGTCAAAAATTGTGTTCTAATTATTTCCCTCTATACCTTTTCGTTGCCTGGACTAATAGCTTTAACACCTGCACACAGAGTGTACACAAACAATTTGTCAAGTGGCCGATAAGATCGTATTATCGACAGATCGCTGGGCCAGACCGGTCGATATAATGAGATGACATTTGTGTTGCATCCACCGTCCACCCACGGACGGACGACAATGAATGTTGCGAAATGTCACAGGTTTGTTCATTATCAAAACGTAAACAATTTTTTATATAAATACTAGCTGACCCAGCGAACTTCATACCGCCCTAAAAAAATAGGGGTTTTCCAGCGGACAAAATTGTGAATCTAAACCATTCTCAGATCCCCTTGAACACACACAAAAAATTTCATCAAAATCGGTCCAGTCGTTTAAGAGAAGTTCAGTGACATACACACTCACAGAAGAATTATATTTATAAAGATAAATAAATATTTCCAACACTCACACCAATTAGCTTAGCCCCAAAGTAAGCACTGTAAGACTTGTCTTATGGGTACTAGGGTAACGGATAGAATATATGTATATTTATATAGAAATACATATTAAACATCCATGACTGGAGTACAAATGCTCGTAATCATTACACAAACATCTGCCCCCACCGGGATTTAACCGGGAACCTCTCGAGTCGGCGACACCATGAAACCCGGCATACAAACCACTCGGCCACGGAGGTCGTCAAAAAATTTTTAAATCGCTTAATTATTGATTTCAGAATGGGTGTTTAACGATATTAGGGATCACCAATTGGCCAAAATTGGTGTGTGTGTGTGTTTACGCACGGAAATAAGTGTGATGTTTATTTAGTTAGTACATAAAATAATAATTATTCTTTATAGATAAAAATATATAGTTTTCTGCTATCCATCTTATTATTAAACTTTTTGTGAGCAAAAAGTTTAAAATATAATTGGAATTATTTCTCTGAAAATAATAATTATCAGTGCTTCTACATGCATACGTTTTTTTATAGATATGTCCGACAAATCGCTCCCCCCCACCTGACGTTAAGTGACGGTGAAGTCCAGACGCGAAGATAGCTGGTACAGCAGTTCCACCTGCCACACCAGCCATCCTCACCCTGCCGGCCTGCATGTTGCCTCTTTTAAAGGATTCCAGGTTGTAAGAAATATTATATAGTTGTAAGAAATATAATATGTAGAAAGATTAAGAAATAACCTCACAAAACTTTGATAGCAATAGCACTTAATTGGGATAATAGACCAACATTATTCTTATCAATTCTATACATTATACCTACTCAAAGGTCGTAAAAC